TTCAGCACTGCTTTCCCGATGTAGAGACCGCCTCTCCCGTGGTAAAGCTTGAACTCCTGGGTCGTGCTGTCGGCTTCCAGATGAATTCCTTTCGCCATCAACTGGCTAACGCTCAGTAAGTTGTAGCCGAGTCCTTCAGCGATGAGTACCTTAGACATGTGCAGTATGACATTTGTTTCTCTTGACTGAAGCTGTACCACTCCTTGTCTTCGTGTGCGCAGGTTTTGGTTGTTGGCAACCGTGATGATCACTTCCCGTTGGAGTCGATGTTCGCGTTGTACGAAACGCCCGGACGAGCACATGTGTTGCCCGCAGCAACTGTCCAAGAACCAGGTGTCTTGGCCGGACGGTTCACTTTGAGCGATAGCGGCGTAAGTCGGATTTGGATGGAGTGATTCGCGACGAGGCGTCCTGTTGTCGAGCTCCTCTTCCGGTGAGTAATGGGGTGGTGACTCTGTTGTGCAAGAGTCGTTTATCTTGACCATGCAGTTGACTATATGTCTTGCTCCTTGTGCAGGTTGTCCAGTTGAGGTCGTTGAAGCTTGAATCGTGGTTGTCGAGCTTGCTTGTGTCGAAGCAACTTGGGTGCTTGAAGGCCGCAGTTGTCGCTGTGGTGTTGTCTGTCGAGACGGGCAGTGCGTGCGTGGGTGTCCTGATGTCTTGCAGATGTGACAAAATGGAGGTACTAACTTCGGCTGCTGCTGTCGATTGTTGTAGTAGTTGTGTCGTCGCTGAGTATGGAAAGCAAACTCCGGTGCTAATGTCCTTTTCTTGTGTCTTTCTTCTTGCAGGTCCATATCCTGCTGCTCGGCGTGAATTTTTGCGCAAAGTGCCGCTTCGGAGATCCTCCCGTGTGCTCGAAGAATTGCTTTGGTGGCGCGCCACTGAGGACCGAGGCCGCCGATGACGACTGTTACGAAGGCGTCTTCAGAGATTGACCCTCCACACCGAAGAAGCTTGTCGCGCAGTTCGCGACATCGGCTGATATACGCCAACCCTTTTTCTCCTGGTTTCATTTCAACTGTTGTCAGCTGCGCCATTAACCTGCTCTGGTTTACACTGTCTGTTGCCTGGTACAGGTTCTTCAGATGGCCGTACGCGAGTTCCGCCGAGTTGCCGAAGTTCCGGTAAGAGCGAATGTTTTGCTGCTGGGTTGGTGTGATGTTTCTCAGTAGAATAGTATACGCCATCATGGATTGATACGTATACTGCTGCTTTTCATACTGTGTCCCGTTTGCTGGATACTGCAGGGATCCGTCGAAGAAGCCGAGTATCTGCGCGCCCTCCATCATCAACTCGAATTCAAAGGACCAGGTAAAGAAGTCCTTTCCGTCGAAAGGTCTTGACGTCTGTAGTTTCAGAACATGCGCGAACTGCGACTGTACTTGTAAGGCATCCATTGGTTTGTCTTGCGCAGGTGGAGGTTGAGGCAGGAAGCTGGTCGACCCGCGTTCGTACGGGGCGAAGGTGGGTTGCTGCTGTTGATTCCCTCGCGCATATGACGACCCGTCAAGGCTCATGGGTGTCGCTCCGTTGTTGCTGTTGTGTGTCTGTGCAGGTCCCGACTGCTGGTGTTGCTCGTAGAAGGACATGAAGGAGAAAATTTTCTCCATCATGCTCTGGTCGAAGTCAGAAGGATGGTTCGTGGGGGTCTCGGTTGACGTTCCCCTTGGTCTTGCTGCCGTGCCTTCCTCTGTCTGCAGGCCAGAGGCTGGCGGTGGAGTAGGAGTAGTGCCCGAGGAGCCATTAGGGGAGCTCCTTTCCTTGTTTGTTGCCATGTCTTGTAATGATCAAAAGGTTAGAGTTTTCCTCTGTCAGCTCTCATACCATGTTGGGCTGAGAAATAGCCCTTAGGATCTTTGCAGAGGAGAACTCTTGGGTAGAAACTTGTAATAGCGGAAGCGTTTTAATGAGGATTGTGAACCGACCTTGCACTGGTGTGTGAGAGCAAAGTAGATTAAATTGAACAAGCAAATACAAGGATTTATATAAGAGTACAGGGAATACGAATAGATAGATAGATAACTGTATTGCTGTTGCGGTTCGATACAGTGCGACTCGGGCAACTGCTCTGTAACGAGTCAGTTGTGTGTCCTTAACTGTCGCGCTGTAATTGTCGAGTCAAAGGTCAGCGACCTTTGACTTTCTCGTAACCTCCAGGCGGTTACCCTAACCTCCGAGGTTGACTCGATGCTTCGATTGGGACTGCTTCGCTTGGTGCCTTGGGTCTTGGTACGACAGAAGCGCACTTAGGACTTATTGTTTCCAACAGTTTTGACACCAGTGTCATTTTGGCGTTTTGACACGAGCATACATTGTTGGTTGGTGTCAAGAAGTCGCTCAATACCAGCCTGTCAAAATCATCGGATATCCCGCTCGCCAGGAGTCGCAGCTCACACAATCCAATCGAATTTATCGTATTGATAAATCTGGCGTTTCGCTCTCACCCAATTATCCTGTCCGTAGACTGGTGCAAAATTTTCTACCAGTCGTCATGTTTTGCACTGTGGTGATAAGCATGGCATTTTGGCATGTGCATAAATTCGCAATTTGACACATATTCGTGTCCCACCAATGAGGTGTCGTCGCACATTACCAATGGCGCGACTGGAGATGACCCATCTGCTACAGTAATTGACACGGCTAAAGTGGGCCGACTCGGGTTGACACGCATAAACAGCTGGTGTCGAAACTACGGACAGGATCTGATAGTTGGGCCACGGCTTTAAACAAAACGACAGGAGGATGTCTGACAAAATGGTCGTGTGGGGAGGGCTGTCTGGTCTGGTGCTCCTACCGACACGCTGCCAAGCCCGGAAAGGGCAGTTTTCCAGAATGCCAAGAAAGCCCGTTAATAGATTCTGAATTTCCACCCGTCTCAGATGATGACTCGTAACGAGATGCGTGGTTCCGAAAACTTCTGCGTGTGCAGGTCCAAAGCAGACACCTCCAATGCAGAGAGCCGTCGAGATTCTTCTTTCCCTACTATAGGACCCCTCCGGGCAAACCAGTGTACAGCTCAAAATACCCCTGAGATTTAGAAACACGCTGTACACCTGACTTTCAATTTCTACACACCAGCAGGACTGTGGCCTGGGTGATCCGTCCCTCAGCGGATCGCACTTCCAGATCCCGAAAGTGAGGTGGCTGATGTGCAGTTCTTTACCAAATGCCACGATTAACCCTCCTACGTGGGTGGGAGGTTGTCTGTTGGCGATGATACGTACAGACACCTCCTATGTCTGTTGTCTGTTGTATTCATCGCGGTGCGACGAAGATTTGAGAGGACACCAGCAAACCGTCTCACAACAAATGTTTCATGCGGGTTGAGGTTTCGTGCGCTTCCGAGCGGTCTGATTTAGTCATTCAACGTTTAGGTAGGGTTGTGAACAAGGAATAAGGTTTGGTGAATTTCGCACCAAAGGCAGTTGTTGAGGCAAGACTCTTCCATCCATCCCTCCGCCATCCTTGCAAAGCGGCCTTCTGCCATTGTTAGGTGGGGCCGTCTAATTTTCTCCGCAAATTGCGACCACTTACGTTACTCCTCTCTGCACGCCGCCATTACGAAGGCCTAGTTTTTTCAACGCGCTATGGCGTAAAGAGGGAGCATGGTGACGATGTCAGGGTGTAGTAGCACCACTACTACTGGTCTATGCTGCCTCGTTCGTGGCTGAGCGATGTTACGACGCTCGCTGCTGCCTCGCGTGACTCCGGGAGCAATCAAATGCCAAAAGTAGACTTTCTAGACACGCGGTTCCTACATCAGAGATTATAGGCCACAGAGTTGCGTTCTCCTCGCGCCTTGCGGATCATCCCCGCGCCGAGCCGCTGGCGATAGAGGTCACGGCGGCATGGCCATTACCGGCTCGTGCGCGCCCCTCGCGGCGCTGGTGCCGCTTTTCCTTCTCCTTCTTCTTCTAGTGCCGGAGTCGGCGTGGATTGGCGGAATCGTCCGCGTCGGGCACGCGCTCGACGCGTCGAATGTGGTCGGGGACATGGGGCTCGAGCGCGGCATGTCGCTGTTCCGGGTGCGTGCCGCGCCTTCACTATTACTGCCAGCTGTAGCAGTACTTCTATTCCAATTCTCTCGACTCGGAAGTTTAGAATCTAGGAAAGGCTGGTGCTTTCTCGGCGCAATTTCAGCAAGCATTGATGGCCATGCGGAACGCAATGCCGCAAAAAAGAGAGATTCAAATCGGATCATCCGCAGGAATCAGATCCTTGCCAATGGATTTCGAGATTGAGTTTTGAGACGTCCTGAAACGCCAATTTATCAAACTCGAAATCAGACAGTTATATTTCAGATTGTCTTCAAGCCGCGAGAAACTTTCATTCCACCTTCGCCGCGTGTCACGCGGGTGAAGTCCTCGAGACAAAGTAACTGCGCGGATGCTTTGGTGTAGTCTAACCCCACCCCCCCCTGTTGTGGCCTTGTCCTTCCGCACATTCGAACCAACGCTCTCCCTCCCTCTCTCCGCCTCCTCCGCCTTTCCCTTCCCTGCTTCCGCCTCCGCGCGCCTCCTTCGCTGTCCCCGCCCCACTCCCCCTCCGCGCGCGCAGCAATGGGAGAACGCTTACGGCCTTAAGCCCGAGCAGCGCCTTCCCCCCGACGTGGTATCGCTTCCGCCCAACGTCCCCCGCGCGCCCCACCTGGAGGAGTGCGTCGCGCGCACGGCGCGGCGGCGGGAGGCGGAGCAGCGCGGGGCGAACGGGGAGTCGCCGGGGTGGGCGCGCCCTGCGGACTGCTGCAAGTGCGACCCGCAACCGCCATGGGTATGAAGTCAGCATGATTGGGCGTGGAGGCAGCAGCGTGGGTGCGTGGGTGCATGATATGAACCTGTGGGTGCGTGTGCTGTAGCTCCGAGAGTCTGTGAATATGTATCCGCTTCAGAGAGTTGTAAATTCGTCATTGCAAGCAGTTGCACAAACACCGCAGCGCCACAAAAACCCCAAATCGCCAAGTTCACCTACCTGTCACAACCAGGCTGGTGGTTTATTACATGCTTTCACGGAACCACATCCCCTCCCCGCTTCCCCCCACGCTCCCCCGCCCCTCCTCCTCCTCCTCCTCTTCCTCCTCCTCCTCCTCCTCCTCCTCCTCCTCCTCCTCCTCCTCCTCCTCCTCCTCCTCCTCCTCCTCCTCCTCCTCCTCCTCATCTATCCCTCCCCTCTCCCCTAAACCCCCAACCCTCACCCCTCCCAACCCCCCCCCATCCCACCGCCTTTCGGAGCAGGGAAAGGCAGTCTTGCTTTGACGCAAATGAAGCCCCCCCCCTTCAAGACCTTCGTTTCTTCCCATTCACCTCCCGCCACCCTCTCCCCCCTCGCCTCCCCTTCCCCCTCCGCTCCTCCCCCTTCCCCCGCGCGCGCAGGTGAGGGGGGCGGAGGCGGAGAACCTAGCCAAGACGCGCGTGGCGCAGAGGGACATATGGGAGCGGCAGTTCCCCCCAGGGGACTGCCAGGGACAGCGCCTGCTCGTGCTGCCCTGGTCCACGCAGGAGATGCGCGGCGTGGGGTCAGGGGTGAGTGGAGAGAGGGGACGGGGGTGGGTTGCGGTGCGGTGCGGTGGAAAGCGGTTTGGGATGTAGTGGTATGTGCCAGAAGTCAGCGCCTGCTCGTGCTGCCCTGGTCCACCTGGGAGATGTGCGGCGTTGGGTTGGGGGTGAGTGGGCGACTGGGGTGAGTGGGGTCGGGGGTGCAGTGGGGTGAGTGGGGTCGGGGGTGCAGTGCAGTGGAGAGCGGTTGAAGCCGTAGTGACATGTGCCACAGGGATTCTTCCAGCTTATGAAACTGCCCAAAACCTTTCAGAAATCAGGTCGTATCCCTGGCAAGTGTCAAGAAGTGGTTGGTGTGTCAAGCGAGGTTACGGTTGACACCAAGTGGAGCCGCGTGTGAGCGCGGCTCCAGCCTGGTGTCAATGTTGGGCACATTGGGCGATTTCCCGCGATCACATTGGTCGGTTTAGCTGACACCAGGAGGACTAGTCCTCCATGTGTTTTCCGAGTGTCATGACACTAACCGCTCTTGACACTTGGTGGGGATACGACCTCAGCACAGGAAGTCCTTCAACCCAGAACCCTGAACCTTGATCGAGAGACATTGAGGTGGTGACAAATCAAGGTTGGTGGAAAATACTTTCTGGGGCTATGAATTCCCATTTCAATGCATGTGTGGGTCCATCCGGCCACATCCCATCCCATCCACTTCATTCCGCTCTTTCCTTCCCACACCCTCCCTCCCCTCTGCTTTTTTTCCCTGATCCCCCCACTTTGTTCCCCTCATCTCCCCTTCGTTCCCTCGCCCCCCCCATTTTCTTCGCCTCATCCCAATATTCTATCTCCCCCCCCCCCCCCCCCCCCCACTTTCTTCCCCTCCTCTCCGTTCCTCCACCCTCCTCCCCCTGTCGCCACGCCCTCACCCCACGCTCTCCTCCTCAGATCCATGTGACGGGGTTGTTCCTGAGCCTATCCATGGCGCTCAACCGCACACTCGTACCCTACCCCGACTCCTACCACCACGCCAACACCTCCGACTGCATCGGTACGCCCAGCCGCTGGGAGCACTGCGCACCGTGTGCCATGGGCATGAACATGGAGCGTGCCATGCGTCACGCCCATGCCTCACGCCCATGCGTCACGCCCATGCCTCATGCATTCCAAAGTGTGCAGAATGTCATCCAGGTGGGATCAGAAGTTGGCTCACAAGTCACCTCCTGCACCGTCTACCCCCTCCAACATCCATTCGTCCCTCCCTCCCTCCCTCCCTCAGTTGCCTGAGTCAGCTTATGCACTAACCATCTCTCCCGTGCTGCTGCCAACTGCCCATCTTTACGTGTGTGTAACCATGTGTGCTGCGCCCACCACCACCACAACACCAACACACGCCTCATGGCATTAACAACCCTCACCGCTCTCCCACTTACCCTACCCTCTCTACCCCGCCTACTCCCCTTATTCCTCCTATTCTCCCCTTTCCCCCACTCCCATGTTCCAGCCTCAGGCCGCAACAGCTCGTGGGAGTGCTTCTTCGCGCCCATGGTGTCCCCTGCGTGTGAAACCCTCGTGCGCCGCCTCATGACCACATGCCACCTCTCTCACTGCCGTTTTCTCCCTTCCTTCCCTTGCCCACGCCTCTCACTTCCCCCTTTCCCCCGATTGCTCCCCCTACTGTTCCCCTCGTTCCCCCCACGCTCCCCCCACACTCCCCGCTCGCCCCCCCCTCTCCCTCTTCCCCCTCTCACCAGCCTCAGGCCACAACAGCTCGTGGGAGTGCTTCTTCGCGCCCATGGTGTCCCCTGCGTGTGACGCCCTCGTGCGCCGCCTCATGGAGACAGCGGAGGGTGCGGGCGTGAAGGAGTGTGCGTCGGTGGACTATGATGGGCTGGCTACATTGAACGACACGGTGGTGTGTGTCAGCCCGCTTCGCGTCGATCGGCTGAAGCTGGAATCCCGGGCCACTAGGTGGGGGGGGTTGGGGATGAGGAGAACTCTTTTGGCAGTTTTCATAAGTATGGGGAGGGAGAGGATAATTATGGGCGGAAGGTCAGTGCAGGTGCTGTGTGTGAGCCCCCTGCGCGTCGATCGGCTGAAGCTGGAATCCCGCGCCACCAGGTGCGGGTGAGGATGGGGATACTGTTGGGATTGGTGAAGGAATGGGCCGGGATAGAGTGGGGATGGGCGGAAGGTCAGTCCAGACGGCGAATGAGATGGTGGTGTGTGTGTGTGGGAGGGGGGGGGGGGGGGGGGGGGGGGGGGGGGGGGGTGTGTGCGCCCCCGACGCGTTGACTGGATGAAGCTGGAATCCCGCGCCACCAGGTGGGGGAAAGGTTGGGGGAAGGTGGGGGGAAAGTAGGGGGAAGATGAGAAGGTCCGCGAAGGAGAGAGAGCAGAGGGGAAATTGAGACGGTGGTGTGTGTGTGTGTGTGAGCGCTCTTCATGTGGACTGGGTGAAGCTGGAATGGAACCCCGGGCAACCAGGTGAAGAGGCGCGCGTGGGGAGGGAGAGGATGGGTAGGGAGAGGATGGGTAGGGAGAGGATGGGGAGGGGGAGAATGGGGAGGGGAGAGAGAAGAGGGAGAGAATGGGGAGGGGAGAACGGAGTCGGGGAAGCGGTGAAGTTTAGATGGTGGTGTGCATGAGCCGAGTGCATGTGGAGCAGCTGAGGCTGGAGTTGTGGGGGACCATGTGGTGGGGAGTTTGGGAGGGAAAGATGATGGGAGATGAAGTGGGAACGGGAGGCAGGCGGTGACATTTTAAAGGAGGAGCAGGAGGGTGAAGAAGGGGACGAAGCCACGTGAAAGAAGGGTGGTTTTGAGACGTCTCAAAACCACCCCACCACTTTCACGGGACGAAGGCGGATGTGTTTTAAGGCGTGAGGTGTGGGTCGGTTTGGTTTATTTTTCTGTGGTCAAATGATGAGTCTACAAATCATGCGTCAGTGTAAGAATGTGCGGTATGAAGAGAGCTAGCTGTGCTGATTCTGTAGTGCAGAGCTTTTGTGTTGCATGCAACAAATGCAACCTCCCCTGGTCCTACCTGGGTCCAAGAAAATCTCAAAACCCTAAGGCTCCTCTGGTCATACCGACTTCAGACACCTCTCAAAAGCTTCGAGACGTCTCAGCATGCCCACACACATTCTCTATGTTCCCCCTGCTACTGTGCCCTGTGTGTTGCGTGTGTGCGTGTGCGTGCGCGTGTGTGTGTATGCTTGTGTGCATGCGTGGCGTGCAGTCTATGGGGCAGCCCCCACCTGGATCGGTTGGACATGGTGGAGTACATGGGGGGCATGGAGCAGGACGACGACTTCAAGATGCTTGAGGTGCGCAGGGGTGAGATGTGGGGGAGTGTGCGGTTTGAGAGGTATAGGTGTGGGGAAAGTGTGGCTGCATGGGTGCGAGACGGACATGGTGGAGGGCATGGGGGGCATGGAGCAGGACGACGACTTCAAGATGCTCGAGGTGCGCTGTCAGGGGCGAGGGAGGGGTGAGAGGTGGGGGAGGAGTGTGAGGTTTGAGGGGTACGGGGTGTTGGGAAAGCATGCCAGCATGGGTGCAAGAGGGACATGGTCGAGTAGATGGGGGGCATGGAGCAGGACAATGACTTGAAGATGCTCGCGGTGCGCAAATTATTCTGATGAGAGATGTGGGAGAGGGGTGAGGTTGAGGCATGTACGCATGCCACGTACAAGTCGTTGCATGGTGGAGGGTGTCCTGTCATGGCATGGCATGGGATGCCATGTCATGTCATCTCATCTCATCTCGTGTCACATCATGTCATGTCATGTCACGAAGCAAGACAACAGCTCTCGAGGGTAGCTCAATCCAAAGTGAATCAACGCTCTCAGGCCAATTGCACTTGTAGTGACGGTGCAGTAATAACGTGCAATCTTGGTCAGGGTGTGTGAGTGGCAGCACCCGCACGTGTGTGGGAAGGGACAGGAAGAGTGTTGCGCCTCTTTTTGAGTCGACTCAAAAGTAGTTTGACCCATCGTGAGAGTGCTGCATGTGTGGGAAGGGACAGGAAGGTTTTGACCCATCCCCAGTCGACTCAAAAGCTGTCCAGGCTCAGTGTTGGGCATTTCCAATGTGTCATGCACCCGTAGTCTGGGGCAAGTGGGACCTGGTTCCATCCCAAGATAGCACATGTATTAGAGAGGCATCCGAGAGAGAGGTAGAACCAGGATAGCACCCAGACATGTGCTACCTCTGGGTTAGAGAGTCATCCCAGAGGTAGTCTAGTCCGACCCTCGGGGCCGTTGGCTAAATGGCTGTCACGTATTCCGTTGACTTAAGTTGTTGGCTTGTTCCAACTCCATCCTCCTCCCTACCTCCCCCGCCCTCTCCCAAGTGAGGTCAATGAGCGGCAAGCCTTTTCAGGGGAGGACAAAAAAAAAAAAGAGAAGACACTCCCTCCTCTCCGCCGTTGTCTCCTTGCTCTTTCTTCCCTTCCCCTCCCCAGGTGCGGTGGTGGCGAGCGCAAGCCACGCGCTTCATGCTGCGCTGGCCATCCGCGTACCTCTGCCACGTGACCAACCGCGTGCGCCACTCCGCGTACGGGCTGCACGCAGCCATGCACCTGTCGCGCTTCGAGGAGGAGCGAGCAGAGATCCTAAGACTAGTCGCCGCAGGCGACCCGGTGCGGTTCTTTGTGAAGGACACGGATGGCAAGGCGGATCTAGACGGGGCTGCCAAGGCCCAGGCCAAGGCACTCGCTGAGTTGAAATTCAGCGGGAGCACGCTGGAAGGGCAGGTGTGGCCGGCGAAAGGGATGGAGTCGTGTGCGTTTGACTGTGGGCCGAACGGGGAAGGGCGGTGGAAGAGGAAGGAGGTGCAGGGGATGCTGCAGGGGGTGGGCGGGGAGGTGTATGCGCCGCGGCCGATGGTGAGCGTGCACGTGCGGCAGAGCGACAAGTTCAAGGAGATGACGCTGCTGTCGTTCGCTATGCACATGTTCTTCGCTCAGAGGTTGAGAGCTGCCATGCCGGATCTGAAGCACGTGTGGCTCAATACAGAGATGGAGGTACGTTGGAGGGAGGGGGTTGGGGTGGGCGAGAGGGAAGGGAGAGGGGCCTGGAAAGGGCGGTTGGGAAAAGGAAGGGGAGTGAGATAAGGGGGAGTTGTGAGTGGGATCAAAGAATGTGCCTGATTCCAAGCGTGTGTGGCAGAGCGACAAGTTCAAGGAGATGACATGTCCTTCGACATGCACATGTCCTTTGCTCAGAGACTGAGAGCTGCTGTTCTGGATCTGAAGCACGTGTGGCTCAATACAGAAATGGAGGTGTGTTGAAAGAGGGGGGGGATAGGGAGGTAAGGGTTGGAGAGAAGGGGGGAGGATGGGAGGAGGGATTTAGCAAAAGGGCGGGTTGCAAAAGGAAGGAGGGGGGGGGGGAGGGGTGTTCAAGGCATCTCATCATGTCAACTTTTTACTTTTGAGGATGTGACTTGGCGACCATGCTCAAAAGCGGCTCGATCGAAGCACCTCAAAAGACTTAGACTTGTTTGAAAGGCAGTGCCTGATTGTTAGGACGTGTGGCCTAACACAGAGATAGAGGTGCATGTATGCATGCATAACCCAACACGTTGCCTGCCACTCCAACCTCCACATCAACCATTCCCAAAGCTCCTCACACACCAGTCTCTCCTTCTCCTTCTCCCTCCTCCCTTCTCTGCCGCCCCCTCTCCCTCACCCTTCCTCTTTCCCACCCCTCCCTCCCCACCGCCCCCCTCCGCCCACCTGCGCCCCACATAACCGTGATGGAGCAGGCCAAGCAGTACCCCTCGTGCCAGTCCCACTACTCCACCAACGCGCGCCTGCCCCCCAGCGCCTCTCTCCCCCCCCTCCCCCTCCCCCATACCTTCCCCTCCCGCCCTCTGTGCGCCCACCAGTCCGTGATGGAGCAGACCAAGCAGTACCCCTCGTGGCAGCCCCACTACTCCACCAACCCATGCCTCCCCGCACGACCCCACATCACCTCTCTCCCTTTCCCCCTCCTCCCCCTCTCCACCCCCTCCCCCCCTTTACCCCCACATGCGCCCACCAGTCCGTAATCGACCAGACGAAGCAGTGCCCTTCCTGGAAGTTCCACTACGCCACACCAGCCCAAGCCTTCCCCGTGACCCCACATCACCTCTCCCTTCCCCCTTCCCTCCCCTCCCCCCACCTGCGCCCACCAGTCTGTTATAGAGCAGATGAAGCAGTACCCGTCCTGGCAGTTTCACTACTCCACCAATGCGCGCCAGCCCTGTGACCCACATCACCTCCCTTTCCCCCTCCCTCCCCCATTCCCTCCCTCCCCTCCCCCCACCTGCGCCCACCAGTCTGTAATCGAGCAAACCAAGCAGTACCCCTCCTGGCAGTTCCACTACTCCATCAATCCACGTCTCCCCCCCGGCGCCAACGACACGCGTGCGTACGAGTTCATGCAGGACGTGGCAGTCAGCCTTGCCAGCGTGCTCATTGCCGCCGAGTGCGACTACTTTGTGGGCTCGCTCGAGTCGAATTGGAGCAGGTTGATCAATGAGCTGAGGAGCACCAACGGGAGGCTGTATGCCGGGTTCATTGCACTCAATATTGGGCTGTGGTGAGGTGAGGTGATGCGTGTGGTGGAGACTGGAGTAAACTCATAGCAGCCGAGTGCGACTACTTTGTCGGCTCGCTCGAGTCCAACTGGAGCAATGAGTTGAGGAGAACTAATGGAAGGCTGTATGCCGGGTTCATTGCACTCAATATTGGGCTGTGGTGAGGTGAGGTGACGCATGTGGAGGAGTGCACCCATTGCAGCGGACTGGACTGCGATTACTTTGTGGGCTCACTCGAGTCCAACTGGAGCAGGTTGATTGATGAGCGCAGGAGGAGCACTAATGGCCGGCTGTATGCCGGGTTCATTTTGCTCAATATTGGGCTGTGGTGGTGAGGTGAGGCGCGGTGGAGTGCAGTGCAGTGGGGTGTGATGATAACCTGTGGCCAGCTGCTTGTTGAGGCGATTCTTTTGTTCAAGTGGTGTGGTGAGGTGTGGTTGTTACGGCATTGCTATTCCTCAAAGGCTCAGTCAGATCCTACTAACAACAGACCTATGCAGACAGTTGAATAACCAGAATCATTTCGTTCAGTCAGAACTTAACTAACAACTCCATTTCCAAAAGTGGCAACTTCCAAGGGGCAGAGCTTAAGTTATGGTCCTTCAGGTTTACAGATGCTAAACAGGGCTGCTGATGTTGATAGGAGCAGAGAACAATTTACTTTCCTTCTATGCTGAAAGTCTACATACGTACTGTACCACTTTAGTTTCAGAGCCACCATAACCTTCGTTATTCCAGGCAGTAATATAGAGCATAGCATAAGGTTTGACACAAAGCAAAGCAAAGCAAGCACACTAAGGTGTAGTCTCAGTTACATACAGTAACACTACTACGATCCAGCAACATACATGCTCTCAACCACAGAAAAAAGACAAACAATGCAGCTGGCTCACAAATAAGCGTCCTGCAAAGCGAAACAGAGCTTCAAAGATAATCACAGCTGGAGCTGCACTCTCAAGGGAGCATGGCGATCGTACAAAGCATTGCGCACAGCGAGCAGAGGGAGAGGGTGTGAAGGGGGTGGAGTTTGAAGGGTCGAGGGGATAGATAGAGATGGGGTGTGATGGAGGCTGGGTTGCATGAAGAGGAACATGAGAGCATCCTTATTCGAGCCTAGAGGGTTGTGTGATAGATGGAAGCTGCTCTGCTCCTTACACACACAACTAGCTACAGGTAGGTAACAGCGCTCATAGAAATATGAAACACTGAACTGACGACGCTGCATCTCCCCTCCGAGGTTCCCACCAACACCTCACTTGCCATTACCAGCACCAGCAGCAGCAGCAGCAGCCGCAGCCGCAGCAGCGGCAGCGGCAGCAGCAGCATTCCCAGCAGAAACAGCAGCGGCAGCAGCGGCAGCCTTGCCGAGGCGGTCCTTGTGTCCGGCAGCGAGACGCATGAGCTTGTGCGCATGCGTGCTCATGCCCTGTGCATCTGTAGCCACTTCCACAGCAGCCTTCTCCGCCTCCTGCAGGGTGCGCAGCAGGCGCGTGTTGGTGTCTCTCTCCTTGTCCAATGCGTGGCGGAGTGATGAGAGCGTGCTCTGCAGGTGGGCCACATGGTCCTTATGCTGCCATGGGGGAAGTGGGAAGTGAATGCAGACAAGGGGGATGCAGGGAGGAGAGGGAGGGGAGGTTTGGCGGAGGAAGGTGGGATGAGAGTGATCTGCAGGTGGGCCACCTGGTCCTTATGCTGCCATGGGGAACAGAGAGGGGGAGGAGGAGGGGGGGGGGGGGAGGAGGAAGAGGGGGGTGCGCAGTGGAGGTGAAGGGGGTGGGAGGAAACAGGGGTGGAGTGGGAAAAGTGGGTGGGAGAAGGAATACGGAACCCACTCGCACTTGAGTGATGGGACGAGCAACGAGGTTCCCTTGTGGCAAGTAGTCCCATCTCAGGCCTCCCATGCTGCCAGGAACATGAGCCCACACACACACACACACACACACACACACACACACACACACACACACACACAGTACTAGAGCCTAGGAGGTTTTGGGCATCACCATGACACTTTCGTTTTGCACTGTCACACGCAAGTGATACACACACTTGAGGCAAGAATAGGAACAGTCGACGGATGCTTGATTGAGCCACCCCTGTGAGTCGACTCTTGAGCCTGCCTTTCTGCTTGAGTTGCATCTGTAAACGTTTGAGTCGAGTTTCCAGTCGAGTTTCCAGGAACCCAGCAGGCATTCGATGCACGCGAGAACATCTCCTGGGCGGGGTAGTCTCACCTGGGTGACCTCTGTGAGTCGCAGCGCCTTAAGGTCCGTCAGTTCCTCCAGCAGCGACGCGCTCTCAGATGACGACTGTGGGGAGGGGGGGCGGAAGGCAAGGGGATAGGGGGGAAAGGGAGGAGGAGAGGGGAGGGCAGGGTAAGGGCAGAGAGGCGCAGCGCCTTGAGGTCCGTCAGTTCCTCCAGCAGCGACGCGCTCTCAGATGACGACTGCGGTGGGGGAAGGGGAAGGGGGAGGCATGGGTACAAGGGGAATGAGAACAAGGGAGAGAGGAGGGGAGATGTTGAGGTGAGTGCGCTTCCTCCAGCAGAGACGCGCTCTCAGATGAGGGCTGGGTGGAAGGGGGCTTTGGGTTTATGGAGCAGAATGTACGCTTGTGAGTGACTTCGAGTCCACATGGAAAAGGAGCCTCAAGCTAAAGACAAGCGGCAATCTGAGATTCATCTAGGTCCATCTGCATTCAAAACAAGTCACTGGCTTTCCGGCCTTCCCGCTTTGCCAAGGATGGACCACATAAACTTTGCCCATGCAAACTCCATGCACAAGTTGGTCCATGCAGAAGAGGAGAAAAGAGCTGATGTGGCGTTATTAATTCTCCCCTATGCCGCCACTCCCTAATCAAAAGCTGCCGAGAAGACTGACTGGTTGGAATGGTTGAGCTTTCATGAGTTTCCAGAGATGTGGGGGATCGACAATAGCTGAGACGAAACTGAGTTGAGAGACGGCTAAGAGAACCAGCTGGTTGATAGGCGTGACACCAAGGCTCATGCAGTGCAAACATGCTTGTTGATCGCGTACCACCCCTTGCTCATCTCGAGTGATAACATGCCACCCCTCCCATGCATGGGAAACCCCCCCCTCCCCCCCCCCCCCCCCCCATCATGCACGCACCTTGCGCATCTGTTGCTGCATGACCTCCACTGTTGACTGCAGGGCTCGCACTGACGCCTGGACGGCAGGATGACGGGTGGAAGGGGGGGGCAGGAGGGAGGGAGGAGGGAGAAATGAGAAATAGAGGGGTGGAGTGCGATCAGCTGGTGCAACACGGAGGCAGGGCAAACGGGGAGCATCTGTGGCTGCATGACCTTCACTGTTGACTGCAGGGCTCGCACTGACGCCTGGACGGCAGGATGACGGGTGGAAGGGGGGGGCAGGAGGGAGGGAGGAGGGAGAAATGAGAAATAGAGGGGTGGAGTGCGATCAGCTGGTGCAACACGGAGGCAGGGCAAACGGGGAGCATCTGTGGCTGCATGACCTTCACTGTTGACTGCAGGGCTCGCACTGACGCCTGGAGGGGTGAGACGGGAGGGGGAGGTGGAGGGAAGGTGGGGTGAGGGAGGGAAGGAGACGGAAAGCGAGGGCGAGAATGAGAGCAGGGCGAGAGAGAATGAGAGAGGAATAGAGGGGAGTTGGCGACCAGATATAGTGCAAAACGGAGGCAGTGCAAGCGGGGAGAGGGACAGGGAATAGAGTGGGGATGAAGCGGGCACAGCTATGAGCTTGCCTCAGAATAGACTTTAGTGAGACTATAGTTCAGGCGCCTAAAAAATCGTGGTAGAGTGGTGTGCCTGTTTCAACAGGCAGGTAAGAAGCTAGCAGGAAATAATCAGAGCGCTCTTTCACCAGAGGGCTCGCGCGCTGCATGCAGCGAGCCTCCCCCTACAGGCTCAGCGCTGTAAGGCATTCATTTCAGGCATTCCAGATGCATGTAGCTTCTGAAGAGACGCACCTGAGCCGCAGAGAGCTCGCCGTGAAGGTTCTGAATGGCGTGGGAGCCGTTGGACTTCTGTTGTGGGTGACGCGCGGCACAGGGGGATTGGAAAGGCAGAGTGGACGAGTAGGGGCGAGAGCAGAAAAGAGGGGAAGAAAAGACGAGTGGATAGAAAGGCAATGAGGCGATGCGTGGGACACGAATACACGAAAGGACGGGAGAGCAAGAGAAGAGCAACAGTGAAAGGCGTAGAGAGGAGAAAGTCAGCTTGGAAAGCGACTGACTGACTGAGCAGCGCGTGGGACAGCAGCTTGTGCTCGAGATTGGAGTGCTCGAGATTGGAGTGCTAGAGCAGCACGAGCAATTGAAGCAGAGGAGAACAGGAGGCGGAGAGAAAGAGAGCGAGAGCAAGCAACGTTGGGGAGAGATAGCTGACCAGCGCGTGCGAGAGCAGCTTGTGCTCGAGATTGGAGTGCTCGAGCGCGAGCTTGAACGCATCCCGCTCGTACTCCGCCTCGCCCAGCACCTCCCCCATGCTCTCCTTCTCCGCCTTCACGCGCTTGTTCTCCGCCTCCACCGCCACCATCCGCGTTTTGAGCTCATCCAGCTCGTCGTTTAGCGCCTTGCAGCGGTCGTTGCTCTGCTGGCGAGCCGTGGCGAGCTCCCTGCGCGCGGCGAGCAGCTGCGCGTGCAGCCCGTGCATCTCGTCTGTCATTTGCTCCTTCTCCTTCTGCCACTCGTCCTGCTGCTTCTGCATGTCCTCCCGCTCCTTCTCCCGCTCCTCCTCCCGCCGCTGCTCCGCGACTCGCAGCCTCTCGCGCTCCTTCTCCCGCTGCTTCTCCATCTCCCTCTCCTGCGCCCGCTCTCGCTCCTTCTCCCGTTCCCTCTCCCTCTCCTTCTCTCGAAGCACCTCCCTCTCCTGATTGGCTGCCTGCTCTTTCTCCCATAGACGCTCCAGCTCTTGAATACGCACCCTCTCCCGCTCTCTCTCCTCCTGCCGCTCCTGCTCCCGCCGAATCTCCCTCTCCCTCTCCTCAGCCCGCTGCTTCTTCTCCTCCTCCCTCTCCCTCTGAATCTGAAGCTGTCTCTCTTCCTCTCTCTTCCTCTCCACCTGTCGCTTCTTCTCACGCGCTCTCTCCTGCTCCCGCTCCTTTTCCCTCACCCTCTGCCTCTCGACCTCCTCCGCTCGCTCCCTCTCTCTCTCCCTCTCCCTCTCCCTCTCCTCAGCCCTCTCCTTCTCTCTCTGCGCCTCTCGAATCCTCTCCTCAGCCCTCTCCTTCTCCCTCTGCCTCTCCCTCTCCCTCTCCTCAACCCGCTCCCTCTGCCGCTTCCTCTCCCTCTCCCTCTCCGCCTGCTTCTCTCGCTCCCTCTGCACCTCCCTCTCCCGCTCCCGCGCCTTCTCCTCCTCCCTCTTCCTCTCCACCCCCCCAATCCTCGCCTGCCCCTGCAGCACCTCCCGCTCCCTCTCCTTCTCCCGCTCAATCAGCCTCCGAATCTCCTCCTCTCGCTCTTTCACCAGCTCCAGATCCCTCCGCCGCTCAGCCTCTCTCTCCGCTTCCCTCTGCAGCTCCCGCTGCCGAATCTTCTCAACCTCCCCGCGCTCGATCATCAGGTCGAGCTCCCACTGCGCCTCCTTCTCCCTCAGAACCTGCATCAGCGCTTCTGCCTTTTCCTTCCACTCCGCCCCACCGCCACCACCAGCGCCAGCGCCTGCACCACTCTCCTTCCACCCACCCTCCTCCTCCTCGTCGTCATCCTGAACCTCCCCCCTCCTACCCTCTCCCCTTCCCCACCCGTCCGCATCCCCATCCGCACCACTCCCCGCTCTCGCTCCCTCCGCCGCACTCGCCGCCTTCTCCGCCACCGCGCGCAGCTCATCGCGCTCCTCCTCCGCGCGCCTCAGACTTTCCTCAAGTCCCCTCTTAGCCTGCCTCACCTCTTCCATCTCAACCAGTAAATCCTCCTGAATCCTCTCCCTTTCCGTCCGCTCTTCCTGCACTTCCTGCCTCAACTCCTCCTCCTGCCGCTTCATACAAGCCACCTCTTCCCGCAACTCCTCCAGCTCACTGCAGCTCATGGTCAGGGCTTTAAGCAGCCGCTCCTGCTCCAGCATGGCGCGGTCGAGCCCGGCTTTAAGAGCGTCGCGCTCCTTGGTGAGAGTGGAGAGGGTTTTCTTGAGGTTGCGCCCCTCCCGCTCCATGGCTTCTAGCCCCATGCGCAGCTGCTCCGCGTCCGCCTGCGCGCCCTCCGCCACCTTCTCCAGGCGCCGCACCTCGCTGCGCGCGCGGGGAGGTAAAGGACGCGGGGGGAGGGGGCGGGGGCAAGGGGAGGGCGGGTGAAAACGGGAAACAGTGGGGAGAGGGAGAGGAGGGAAGGAGGGGGGAAGGGAAGGAGGGAGGGGGAGAGGCGGGGGGGAAGGGAAGGGCAAGATGTGGGAGGAAGAAGCAGCACAAGCAAGTAGGTGCACGAATGGACGCGGTTAGTTGGCGAGGGGAAGAGAAGGGAAGCCAAGGGCGAAGCACGAAGGTGCGCATGGGAGGCAGGGAGGGCAGACGAGAGACGAAAGAGCAAGGAGAAACACACAATAATAAAAGGGTCAACCCGGCCGGCACGGATCCTTGCTCTCAAGCTCCTTCACGGCCTTCTCTCCCTCGTCTCGCTACCCACCCTCACCACTTCTAACCCCCTCATCTTTGCACACTCTCACCCCTCCCGCTCTCACCTCCCGCTATCAAGTCCCCATCCACCCTCCTCCCCTCTTTCCCCTTCACCTGCGAAGCTCGCTGTTCTTGCTCTCGAGCTCCCCCAGGGCCTTCTCACCTCTCCTCACCTCTCCTCACCTCTCCTCACCTCTTCTCTCCTCTTCTCACCTCTCCTCCCCATCCCCATATCCCCCCCGCACCTGCGCAGCTCGCTGTTCTTGCTCTCGAGCTCCCCCAAGGCCTTCTCGCAGCTCCTGTACAGCAGCTCCCGCTCGCCGATCTCCTTCTGCTTCTTCTGCTCTCGCCGTCGCACACGCGCGCGTGAGGGAGAGGGGGACGGAGGGGAGGGGAGGGGAGGGGGGGAGGCAGAGGGAAAGGGACAGGGGGGAAGGGACAGGGGGGAAGGGACAGGGGGGAGGGAGAGGGAGAGAGTGAGCAGGGGAGAAAAAGGTTGAGGTACTGTGGGAGGAAACGGCTCGAATTGAATAAAAGGACTCACGAGAATGTGGCGTAAGGGGGAGAGAAAGAGGAAAAGATGGGGAGAGAGAGGAAGGAATGGGGTGAGGGGAGGAGAAGGGGGGAGAGTGGTGAAGGACAAGTAATACGGGCAGCAGTAGCAGGACGAACGTGCGAGTCTAGAATGAGAGGAGAGATGATGAAAGGAGAGATAATGAAAGGAGAGATAATGAAAGGAGAGATAATGAAAGGAGAGAATGAAAGGAGAGATGATGAAAGGAGAGATGATGAAAGGAGAGATGATGAAAGGAGAGATGATGAAAGGAGAGATAATGAAAGGAGAGATAATGAAAGGAGAGAGAATGAAAGGAGAGATAATGAAAGGAGAGATAATGAAAGGAGAGATAATGAAAGGAGAGATAATGAAAGGAGAGATAATGAAAGGAGAGAGAATGAAAGGAGAGATAATGAAAGGAGAGATAATGAAAGGAGAGATAATGAAAGGAGAGATAATGAAAGGAGAGATAATGAAAGGAGAGATAATGAAAGGAGAGATAATGAAAGGAGAGATAATGAAAGGAGAGATAATGAAAGGAGAGTTAATGAAAGGAGAGAGAATGAAAGGAGAGAGAATGAAAGGAGAGAGAATGAAAGGAGAGAGAATGAAAGGAGAGAGAATGAAAGGAGAGAATGAAAGGAGAGAGAATGAGAGAGAGGAGAGGAGGGAAGGGATGAGGAGCGAAGAGAAAGGAGGAGAGAGAATGCGAGAGAATGAGAGAGTAGGAGAGAGGGGAGAGTATGAGAGAGGAGAGACGGAATGGGGAGCGAGGAGAGGGAGAGAGAAGGAGAGAAGAGGAGAGAGGAGAAAGAAAAGAAAGGAGAGAGGGGAGGAGAATGAGGAGAGAAGAAAGAGTAGAGAGGGGAGAGGGGAAAGAGAAAGAGAGAAGGAGAGGGGAGGGAGAAGGAGAGAGGGAAAGAGAGGAGAGGAGAGAGGGGAGAGGATTGGAGAGAGGAGAGAGAGGGCGAGGGGGCGAGAGGGCGAGGGAGAGAGACGGTGAGAGGGAGAGACGAGAGACCGCGAGTGGGCACGAGGGCGAGAGGGAGAGAGAGGGCGGAGCGCGAAGGGCGGCGACTGACCTCGAGAAGCGCCTCGAGGCGCCTGATGTCCGCCGTGGCGGCGTTCAAACTGCGGTCCGCTGCCTCCGCCTGCTCCAGCGCGCGGGGGATGGGGGGGAAGGAGGGGATGGAAGAGGAAAGGCGGAAGAAATCGGGAAATGGGAGATGAGGGACGGTGGATGGCAGAGCAGGGGTAGGTTATGGAGTATGGGTTGAGGTCATTGGGAGGAGGAAGGAGACTGAGTATGAGATGTAAATTTGTTGCAGAACTATGGCCGGGGGATGGGGAGAATGAAGGGTAGGCATATAGCGAGGGCCGTCTTAGGAGAGAGAAACGCGATTCCAAGAGACGCATGGCAGACGTGACGCGCATTCCCGCTCCGCGCATCCCCCCTCCGCGCATTCCCACCCCACCGCATTCCCGCTCCCCGCGCATTCCCCCCCCGGGCATTCCCCCCCCCGCGCACTCTCCCTCCGCGCTTCCCCCCTCCTCGCATGCCCCCGCTCACCCGCTGGCGGTACGCCTCCATGTCCGCCTTGGGGTCCCTGCCCAGACTGCTGAGCGTCCACTGCGCGCGGGGGAAAGGGGGGAAAAGGGGGGGGGGAGGAATTGCGGGGGAAGGGGGAGGGGATCGGGGAAGGGAGAGGGGGAAACGCGGGGAGCGGGAGGGGGGATGAGTGGAGAGGCGGAGTGTAAAGAGGGGGAGAAAGGTAGAAGGGGGAGTATGTGGGGGGCAGAAAGGGGATGCGGGGGGAGGGTTGGTGAGTGGATGGGTGAAAGGCGGTGGGATAAGAAGTTTGGTGCACGGTTGGTGGGAAAGGGAGGCAGACAGGAGGGGAAATCCGCGGAGAGAAAGGGAAAACGGGAGGGGATGGGAAAAGAGACGGGAGGAAATGGGAAGAGAAGAGAAATGGTGGAAGATGTGGTGGGGCTTTCAGGATGGAAGCGGATAGAGGAACGGAGAGGGAGAGAGGAGTGTAACAGAGTGGGAGAGAGAAGTGGGGAAGTGAAAGTCAACGGGTTTCAGGGGAGAGCGGAGCGGAAGACGGGGAGGGGAGAGCAGGAAGGACGCACCTTGGGTCCCTTGGCTTTTGACGCGGGTGATCCCTGCACGCTCCGGGCAGGCAGAGGGGTCGAGGTGACACATGCGCGAGCGCACACACACACACACACACACACACACACACACACACACACACACACACACACACACACACACACACACACACACACACACACACACACACACACACACACACACACACACACGCACACGCACACGCACACGCACACACACACACACACAGAGACACACACACGCACACGCACACGCGCGCGCGCACACACACACACACACACACACACACGCACGCACACGCACACGCACCCGCACCCACACGCAAACGCACACGCACACGCACACGCACACGCACGCAGAGATGACACGGTTCAGTGAGAGACGGACAAGCATTGGACAACAGATGAAACGCGCTGGGACGGGAGGGAGAGACTCAGTCGGGCACGAGTTGTGAGACGTCGTTGGAAGGAAGGAGACGAGGAGAGGCGAGGAGGGGAGACGAGCGAGGGGGGAGACGAGGGGGGCGGGAGTGATGGTGGGCGCACCAGTCCGGTTGGGATCGGGGTCGCGCTCGAACTGACTCCTCCGCCACCGCCGCCATTGCCGCCGCCACCGGCGCTAAGAGCGCCAGCGCTTCCGCCGGTGCTACTTCCGCCACCTCCGCCGCTCCCGCTCCCGCTTCCGCTCTCCGCAGCGTGCTGCGCGCGCGAGCTCCCGTGGTGCGCGCGCCCGCCAGTGAGCCGGTTCGCGACCGCATTGAGAATGCGCGGAAGGGAATCCGATCGGGGGAGCTCGTCGTCCGTTCCGCTTTCCGCGCCGGACCCCGCGGATGTCTTTCCGCCAGCTCCGCCACTGCTGCCGTGGCTGCCGCCGTGACTGCCGCTGCCGCTGCCGCTCCCGCTCCCGCTCCCGCTGCTGCTCTTGCCCTCCTCTTTCCCCGCGCTCGCTCCGGCGGTAGACGCGGCGGCGTTGGCGCGGCGGGAGTAGCGCGTGAGGGACTCGGATCGCGGGAGCCAATCGGAGCGAGAGAAGCCGGCGGCTCGGCAACCTCCCGAACCTGGGCGGGGGATCTGCGAGGTCTGGGTCTTCACCTGCGTGGTAAGAAGCGACGAGGACGCGGGAGGCGGTTGCGACGATTTCCTCTTGGTTGGAGTGTTGGGTGCTGACGTGGACGACTGCTGCTGCTGCTGCTGATCCTGCTGCTGCTGCAGTCGCTGCTGCTGATGCTGCTTGTTGCTCTGAAGGTTGATCGACGCGATAATCCCTGGGTTGAAATCCGTGGGGGCCTGCGGTTGATGACGAGTGGTACGAAAACAAACAGTATCGTTACTTTCGCAGAAAGAGCACGAGTGGTACGAAATCAAGGTAGAAAGATATTGATGACGGGCACAGAGCAGAGGACGCACAAGACAGCTTCGTCGGGGCGAAAACGGGAAGGATCACAATAGACTAACTTGTTCTGTATAACAGTAAACACTCCTCTTGATACACCGAGTCAAACTGTACCAGGCCAGTGTTGTCCGGAGCAGCTTGCTTCCCCTCCACTTGCTGCTGCGCCAAGGGCTGCACCCGTTTCGACGGCCCCGTGCGAGCTCCAGCCGCCGCCGCAGCAGCAGCCTGCTGCAGCAGGAGGCTCCCCGCGCCAGAGAGGGAAGCGGGTAGGGAGGAGTAACCAGTCGCGTCGGAGGGCTGGGGCAGCACCATGTCTTCCGCGATTGGCTGCGCGAGAATCGTCGGGCGGAAGGATGTCGCGGTGCCCGGAGAGAGAATACGGCGACCCGCGGAACTAGAAGTGCGCGGGCCAACCGCACCCCTGTCGCGGTTGGAATAAGCGCAAGATGTGGGAGGATATGTTGCAAGTGTTATGTCTATTGATGTCTACAAAATATGACGCCAACAATGCGTCATATGCAATCGTACGAGTCAGCACACACTGAAAGGCAAGCAGATGAAAACGACGCTGGTCGTGAAAATCTTCCAAGCAAAGTTCGTCATTTTCTCCCAAAAGTATTCTACCAGAAAACCAAATGAAGATAATCAGAGGAAACGGTTTTTCACGTACCTCGGGTCCTGTCCCCTGGCGGGACCGTTCCGATACGTTGAAGTTATCGTCATCTTGAGGTGATGGTAACCTTCAAACCTCCTACTGAGGATTTTATGTTTTACTCAGAGCACTTGCTCGTGAGTAGCGCCCGATAAACTCAGCCGATGCGCAGCTTCCTCAAATACAGCTCGATCGTAAACGACCCCTTTTGACTGCCCTAAAGCACTCCTCGAAATAAGCTAGTGTGGGCTTCACGTCAACAGGCACGGTCTTGTTCGCTGCTGGGATGGGCGGGGAAGAGAAGAGAGCAGTGGGTGAAGGGACGGGAGAGCTCGCAAGGCTGCGATTGCACAGCGGAAAGCAGCAATGGAGAAAAGTAGCGCCGCCAGGGCGTCGCTTCTAGTAGTTGTTGTGGCGTGCGTGGTGTTCTGGAATGTTTACTGTTTCATACTCTTCCCGTACGTTCCCACCTATGAAATTCTACTCCCTGGCGCACTACAGCGAAACTATCAACTACCGTCTTAGAACGCAAACCGCGTTCTACTGGCGTCGACCGATATTAGCAAGAATCACTCTGCCTACCTACAAAAAACCAGTTTGAGAGCACTCGCTTTTGCTTGCGTACTTCTTACGTTGTGAGCAGACCGACTATAGCTCTTTCTGGAATCAAAATGTGCTTCAACTGTATTGTGGTACTGAGAACTGTGGGAAACGCGGGATAAAGGGCGTGCATATAATATACCTCACATCGAGTCAGTCCAATTCTATCGTGAAACGCTGGAGAGCTCCAAACGCTGAGAGTAGAACCATCTCGAGCTACGCAAGGTATTAGTGGAAAAATCAGGGAGTGCCAGGCCTGGTTTAGAAAAGCAGGGCAATAGCCTGATAGAGAATCAGGAAAGCATGTCCTATGCGGGCGTAGTTGGGAAAAGAGAGTGCTTGGTTGCAGGTGGGAGACTGACGAGGGCAATTCGAGATGCGGGTGCAATGATCGTTACACCATAGGGGCGAGAAAGAGCCGTCGCGCCATGCGTTACAAGACCAGCTTTGGTCGACGCATGCTTGTTGGCATGCCTTCGTGCGCCAAACCAGGTGTGTGGTGAACGGGAGCTAAGCTGAGAGTTATGCTCATGTCACTCGGAGACAGTCGTTGTTGCAATGTCATCTCCAAAAGGTGGGTAAAGCGGGTGCTCTTTGCGAGGAGGGTTGCAGTTATGGGCGGAAATGTGGAACCCCTACTTGCACGAATGTCGAATGCCGTTCGCACCGCCAAGCGCACGAGCCGCGCGAGGCCAAGACGCTGCGCGTATCTGGACTTCTTCATTTCAAGTGGGACTTTTCTGTAAGAAGTGGCAAACCACCCAGACTTTTCTTTTCTATGAAGTACCCAAACTATCTTGGCTGTCGCTGCACCACCAACAGTCTGGTCTTCATGAAGGAAAGCCACACCGGTTCTACTGCTGAGTCTCATTTTCGAACAGCCAGGGTGTTTCAAACTCATGACCTGTCCCCCCCTGCGTGCCCTCCAACAGCATTTCCTCAGCCATTGACTCCGCGAATGGTCGATGGGGCTGAAGAAAAACAAACTTTTAGACAGCACGTCCAAGCCTCGGCCTTACAACACGATTGTCTGGTTTGCACATTTGGCTTGTGGATAACACGTCCTCACTACAAAGATATGGTTCGCTTCCGTACAAATTCCTTATGATAACTAGACACTCTAATATGAATTCCGTCCGTCATTATCCGTTACAAGTGGAATGGAGAGAGCAAACAAGGATTGCTGTAAGAATTTTTTGGATTGCGTAGCAACCTTATACAGCTGTTTTCACTTTTTGGTTGACTGGTGTGAACATTGATTTTCCTCCAAAAAAACGGGAAAAAAATCATTGTTCACATAAGTTACCATAAAAATCGAAACAAATGTGTCCAATCATTCCATTATCGTCGCACAAAAAGACATACGGTAACGGTACGAAAACGCACGTATAGGCAAATGTGAAAGAACGAGGGATGGATGAACTAGCAAGCAGGTGGGTACAAGTAGGAAAACCTAAAAGTGTTGTACCCCATATTTTCTACTCCACTACAGCCTACACAGACTATAGCATATGAGTTTGACACACCCCCATGTGAAGAATGAGGAATGAGTTAACTAGGCAGAATGTAGGTACAAGTAGGAAACCTAGAAATGTTCTACCCTATAGTGTCTACCCTACTACAGCCTAGATAGACCATAGCATATATGTTTGACACACCCCCATAGGGAAAGTGGGGGAGAACAAGAGGTCACAAGACCAGTCAAGCAAAGTAAAGCAAGCTCAGGGTGGATCACAATGTCACCACACAATCTGAGCACAAGAGCAAGGCCACAAGGCTAGTTCACATGCAAGATCATATATAAAGGTAAACAGGCAAGTGCAGGTATAGAAAGATCACAGTACAAACAAGGTCAAGAAGTGAGCAAGTGAGGCCAAGTAGGCACAAGACCTAGCATATTACAAAAGCGCTGATGATCACCACGCGGAAGTGCCTAGGTAAAGATATAAGCAGTGTTGGCCTCAGAGGCCACGTAAGCAAGGCGCAGCTGACCACGCTGCTGCAGCTCACGAGCAAGGAAGTAGCGGAGAGCAATGTGCTTCGTTCTGTGCTCCAGTCTGTGCTCCCGACACAAGGCCAGCATGGCCTTGTTGTCTACGTACAGAACTGGAGGAGAACGAGGCGGCTCTCCTAGGTCAGTCAGCAGGTAGGTGAGCCAGCGTAGCTCCTGTGCAGCCATGGCCCCCGCGTAGATCTCAGCCTCACAGCTGGAGCCGAGAACAGAAGACGAGCGGGCAGACCGCCACGAAACAGAGCCGGAGCCCAGGCTGAAGGTGTAACCCTGTGACGACCGCTGCGTAGCCTGGTCGTCAGCCCAAGAAGCGTCTGCGTGACCTGTAAGGACCACTGGACGTCGCCCTCCAAGCACTAGCCCCATGCCCGACGTACTGCACAAGTAGCGCAACACCCTCTTCGCTGCAACCATGTGCTCTGGTCGATGTCTCCCAGGAGCAACATAGCGTGCCAAGATGCTAAGAGGGTATGCAAGGTCAGGTCGTGTGCAGGTCATCAAGTACATGAGGCAGCCAACAAGCTCTGGGTACGGGCCACTCGGCTCTACGGACTCATCCGAAGGCAGAGCAGAAAGCGAATGGCGAGTAGACAGAGGAGTGGCCTGAGGCGAGGAGTACGTGAAGTCGAAGCGCTGAAGGACCTGCTGCACCATGTGTGACTGAGTCAGGGTAATGGTGCACTGTGCTATGTCCCGGGTGATCTGCAAGCCAAGGTAGCTGCGCAGTTCACCCAGCTCTGTGCACGTGTGTCTCTTCTGCAGCTCGGACTTCACGTGGGCGAGTCCAGCAGTGTCAGCAGTGGCAAAGACTAGGTCGTCGACGTACACGAGGATGTAGAACGGCGGCAAAGAGGTGTCGGTGCGCAGAAACACCGACGGGTCGGCAGTAGAAGGAGCAAACCCAAGAGCCGTAAGTGTAGTCCTCAGTGTGTCGTGCCACTCACGAGGCGCCTGGCGGAGACCGTAGACTGGCCGCCGGAGGCTCCACTGGGTACCAGGGGGAAACGACCCAGTGAAGCCAGGTGGGCGGCGCAGCCAGATCTCCTCATGCAGGCTGCCGTGCAGGAAAGCTATGCTGAAGTCAAGAGAGTGAAGCTCGTAGTCGCGCTGAGCGGCTATGTGCAGCAGCACCCGAAGAGTGGTCATCTTCGGGGTGGGAGAGAAGGTCTGAAAGTAGTCAACTCCCTGCCGCTGACTGAAGCCTCGAGCCACGTAACGCGCCTTGAAGACAGGCGGAGAACCCGGCGGCCGCTTCACCCTGAAAATCCACATGCCACTGACGATGTTCGCCCCAGGTGGGGGAACCTCGTCAACGTAGGTGCCTGTGGACTTCCAGGAAGCCATCTCTGCGTCCATGGCTGAATGCCACTATGAGGAGTAGGGACCCTAGATCGCCTGAGCGTACGATCGAGGAGTCGGGATGTCTGGTGCATCCGGGTCTCCCTCAGGGGCAATCAGCGTGGACACGAGATGAGGCAAAGCTGCAGCAAAACATTGGAACTCCTCCTGCCTGTCCTCAAGGACGTCCGTGCTAAGAGCACACTCACCCCCGACGGACGGAAGACAGACAGACTCAGACTCAGCAACAAGACTAGCACCGTAGTCTAGACGACAGCGAGCAGCAAAGTCGACAAGCTCAGCAACTAAGGGAGACGCAGTAGTGGACTCAAAAGAAGGGTCAGTGACAACAGTAGCCAGGAGACGCATGACAGTAGGACTGGCAGCACGAAAAGAGTCAGACTCCGGGTCAGCAAGAGTAGGAAGAGAGGACTCTGGAGGAGACGGCAACGGGACACGTTGAGGAGCAGTGGAAGGACGCAGTGCCATCTGGTGTGTGCCGGGGACCGCAGGACAACGCGGACGCGGAGCACGACCACTAGTGCGAGCAGCACGAACAGGCGAATCAGGACGAGACGCAGGCTCACGACGCTCAGGAAGACCTCTAGTAGGACCAGTGTAGGGAGAAGGAGCAGGTAGGGGGGAGGCGGGCTGTAACTGTGACCGCGATTGGACAGGCTGTGGACACTCTAAGGGAGGAGCAGGACCAGTAGAGGGCGAGAGACCAAGAACCTGCTCAAGGAGCGGAACGAAGTACGGCCTCGGCCGCGCGGCGACTCCAGAACCAGCAAGAACAACACCAGTACCCCAAGCGGCAGCACCAGCTCCAGCAGAACCACCAGCGCCAACACCCCCAGCAGCTCGAGCTCCAGCAGCTCCAGCTCTAGCAGGACCGGCAGCTCCAGTACCGCTAGCAGCTCCAGTAGTACCTCCAGCAGGACCAACTCCAGCAGCTCCAGCAGCACCCCCAGTCCCAGCAGCTCCAGCACCGCCAGTATGAGTACGTCCGGCTCCAGCAGCACCGCTCCAGCCCCGGGCAAACCACTCGCGCAGCTCCTGCGGAGAGAGTGGCTCCCGTCTCAACGAAGCACCGCGAGAGGCCACACGAGCAGACCCAGCACCCCCAGGCTCCGCACCCCCAGGCTCCGCACCCCCAGGCTCAGCACCCCCAGACTCAGCACCCCCAAACTCAGCACCCCCAGACTCAGCACCCCCAGGCTCAACACCCCCAGGCTCCACGCCCCCAGACTCAGCACCCCCAGGCTCCTCACCCCCAGGCTCAGCACCTCTAGACCCGGTACCCGCAGGCTCAGCACCTCTAGCAGCACCAGAGTCAACAGCTACCTCGACAGGCTCGACTGCGTCTACCTGGGACACACCTGACGGGGCAGGACCCTGAGGGGGGAGGGGGTCTACTGGGGGAGGACTTGGCGCAAGGAAGAGCGGCGGCGGGAGGAGGGGCGCAGTGCGGTAGGGGAAGAGACGGTAGTAAGGCACCGACTCGTCAAAGGTGACGTCCTGGGAGGACAGAACACGGCGCGAGGTGGGGTGGTAAAACTGCCACCCAGGCGCGTCAGGGGGGAATCCAAGGAAGACGCAGGGAACAGCACGAGGGGACAGCTTGTCCGCAGACGAGTTGCGGACAAACGCCCGAGATCCCCAGACCCGAAACGCAGACGCATCGCCAACCTTCCCCGTCCACCGCAAGGTGGGGGAGGTCTCGGGCAAGGAGACTCGGGGCTGGAGGTTGAGCTGATGCGCTGCGTACTGAACCGCAAACGGCCACAGAAAATGGGGGGCAGCCGCATGGATCATGGACGTACGAGCGACGTCCATGACCATGCCAATGCAGCGCTCAGCAATCCCTATTTGTTGTGGAGAGGCCGGAAGCGTGAAGGTCTGGCGGATGCCCTGTACACGATAGAAGGCTCCCAGACGGGCAGAGGAAAACTCCCCGCCTCTGTCTGAGTGCAGACGCAGGACAGGAAAGTCCGAGCCAAAACTCTCTCTGAGCTGGAGATGATCTGCGCGGATCCAGTCGATCAACACCTCAGTGACGTCACCCTTGCTGCGCAAGGGGAAGACTGTGGTGTAACGCGAGTAGTCGTCAACCACCAACAGGAAGTAACGCTCGTGCCCCTGGCCACGGACGCGGGCGGGGCCCCACACGTCCATGTGAAGAGTCTTCAGCGGAGCCTCTGTCGGAGGAAACTCGGAGGAGTGAGGGGTGACGCGCTGTCGCCCCTCGATGCAGGGGACGCAGGTAGGGGCAGGCCCTGGAGGTAGGGGAGGGAGAGACCGAGGGAGACCAGAGACAAGGACACGGGAGGCCATGCCTCAGAGACGAGGCAGGGAGGGGTGACCAAGGCGGTGGTGCCAAAGGAGAGTCTGGTGGGACAGGAGACGACACGAGCAGGGAGCAGACTCAGGACCAGACTTGGACGCTGTAGCAAACACCTGACTCGACGCAGCTACCTGACCAGACTCAGCAGCCGGAGGAGACTCAGTAGTAAGTGTGTACAGGCTCGACCCCGGCCGACGGGTAAACGTGGCCAAGTGTCGGCCTGTCCGAGCACACGTGCAGTGGGTCACCCACTG